TCATAGTATGACTACTTCCGAAGTACACAGAGGAAGGAAACTATATTTATTGTGACCATATGTTCCAGATTATCCAAGACAGTTCCTATTTTACATTTTATTCACTTCAATTAAGAAGATTCATTATATGTCAAGTCATTATTTAACTTTTTACCCATTTAGACAGTAATGTGAATGAATTCATATATTATAAAAACAGTGTAATTTCTTAACATGAAAGTAGATGATTTATATAAAGATCATCTAAAGGTGTGACACCTAATTCACATTGTTATATATTTAATACTTCTCAATTATTGAAAAGAATAAAGTTACCCAATATTAAAACTGTCTTGGCAAATTAAGTACCCACAGTCACATACGTGGCCTTGGGTTTGGTAATGGAAGGTGATCAATGTGGTGCATAGTCAGGCATGAAGGGCTACCTGATAATGATCAAAGGATTAAGTTTGATAATCCATCAGAAAAAGAACTAAAGCAAATCTTTATATGGATGCCTTATTTTGGAAAGTCAAACTATAAAGCTTTCATTAGAGCCCAAAACTCCAAAATGATTAATTTTAATATATGTAAATAATCTGTGGGTTTCCCTGGTGGCTCAGGGATAAAGAATCTTCCTGGCAAAGCAGAAGACTCTAACTTGATCCCCTGGAGGAGGAAATGGCAACCCACTCTAGTATTCTTGCCTGGGAAATCTCATGGACAGAGGAGCCTGGTGGGCTACAGTCCATGGGGTCGCAAAGAGTCGGACACGACTGAGTGGCTAAAAAATGACAACAAATAATCTTCGGGAAATGTGGCCACTTTTTAAGAAATACCTTTCCCCCACTCAGGATAGAAAAGTTTGTGAGATTAGAAAGCAAAAAGTGCTATATTGCTTACTGGGTTAGCAATAGAGGCAGTCTTAGAAGGGAACGTGGCACTTTGCACAATGGGAAGGTAGTCTCAGTAAAGAGAAAAGAGAAGCAAAGTAGTGGAGATGGATAAGGTTATGGGGGAGAAAATTCACATTATTTTGATCACAGTTATGTCCTAAGGACTGTTTAGGGGAGTTGGACATATCTTTAAGTTTTGATTTTCAGAGCAATCTTGCAAGGCAGGTAATATCACCAACTGTCGTGATTGCCTACATTGTGGAGCGGCTAGAATTTGAATTTAGGTCTGTCGGATTTCAAAACCCACACTGTTTCTGGGACACCCCACAGCCTCCCAGCCACTGGCTGGGCTTCTATGATGGGCCAGCTCCTTTGCAGGCAACTTCTCATTTTAGACTCAGGAAAACAGTTAAGATTTTTTTTCAGACAAGCATGTTTCATTTATATATAATATCACAATTTTCATTCTCAAAAGTTCTTTCCTGCTATCCAGATGCTTCTTTATAAGATTTTTATTCTTAAAGATGAAACCCATGCTACTCATAATAGCAGAGTGGAAAAGCAGAGAGCAGAGAAAAACAGCCTGAATTGCATCTTAGAGCCGTCATTTAGCTGGCTGATCTCAATAATTTACACCTAGTTGAGCAACACGACCTAACCCATGCTTTCCAGCCTGGTCTTGCCCTTAGAATGACCCAGGGAACTCATAATATCACAAATGCGTGAGTCTCATGACTAGAGATTTGATTTCAGCTACTCTGGAGTGAGCCTAGGAGTGTGTATTTCTCGGTTGCCCACAATCTCTGAGCCTTTCTTTTCTCATGCACAAAGTAGACATGGACATACACATCCCCAGGGCTGTGGCAACATGTGAGACGCTGGGTGTAAAGCACCTGGGCGGGACTTGGCGCATCTACCAGTGCAATGGGCTTCCCTGGCGGCTCAGACGGTAAAGCGTCTGCCTGAAGTGCAGGAGACCCGGGTTCGATCCCTGGGTCAGGAAGATCTCCTGGAGAAGGAAATGGCAACCCACTCCAGTATTCTTGCCTGGAGAATCCCATGGACAGAAGAACCTGGTGGGCTGCAGTCCATGGGGTCACAAAGAGTAGGACACGACTGAGCGACTTCACTTTCACTTTCACCAGTGCAGTAATCCACAGCGGATGGTGACCCTAGTGTTCCAAACATGGCCTTGGCTTTATGGCAATATGCCTTTTAAAAAATTTTGTAGGTGGTAAATGCCATCTTCATTCATTCTTAAACTTTTGTTTGTCTTGAGTTTTTAAAATTTCTTGAGGACAACCCTCTTCCAAAGCTAGGATGAACCTAATCACTCCAAGTTTGCTGCATGCTGTCTGGGTGCTGTGATGAAATGACGGAAACATTCTTAGGTGGTTGCTGCTGTTTGGGTGCTGAGTCGTGTCTGACTCTTCTGTGACCCCATGGACTGAAGCGTTTTGGCCCCCTGAGTATCACCCCTGGAAACGGAATGTTTTGGATTAGTGATGTTTAATATTCCTTTTCCTTCTGATATCCCGTGACTCTGTGGTCTTCTCTCTGCCCCACAGCCACCCTTGGGACACACGCATGTTACACAAGTCACACCTACCTGAGTTAGAAGAGAGGCCTCAGAAGCCAGAGAGAAAGTGTCAGTCCCTGGTTGTGAATTTCTAGACAACTCTGGACAAGTTGCCTCATCAGTAGAAAGGAAGAGAATTAAGCCCAGGTCTCTATGCGCCCTCGGCACTCCAGCCTCAGACAAAGACGATGACAAGAGCGGATGAAAATCACAACCGGTGCTCCCTGAGGTTCTGAGCTAACACAGACGTTATCTCATTTAACCTGCGTTCCACCTCACCACGTAGTATTAATTCCACCGGGCTGGAGGCAGGTGGTCAGGGTAACGCTGAGTTGCTCAGTTGTGTCCGACTCTTTGTGACCCCATGGACTGTAGCCCGCCAGGCTCCTCTGTCCATGGGGTTCTCCAGGCCAGAATGCTGGAGTGGGTTTTCATGCCCTCCTCCAGGGGATCTTTCCTACCCAGGGATCAAACCCAGGTCTTCCACAATGTAGGCAGATTCCTTACTGTCTGAGCTACCAGGGAAGCGATCGGGGCAAGGTTGCTGAATTTGCTCCCTGGGTGAAAACAGCTCCCTTTCCAGGAAACTAAAATTACTATCATATCAAGAATAACGATACTTTTAGTCTCTCATTGACTTACTTTTACAATAACTGTGATAATCAATGTTAACTGAGTAATTACTATGGATGAGAAGTGTGCTAAGGAACTTAGTTGCTTTTCCTTAAATTAATTCTTATCAGAATTTATCCATTCACTCTATGTGTAGCTCTAGCCTTTTTTTTTTTTAAGGCACATGAAATATAAGAGGAAACAGATCACACTGAGTTTCTGATATCATGAAACATTTTTATTATGATTCCCATTTTATAGATGAGAAACCTTGACATTTCACAAGGTTAACTAACTTACTTGAGATCATACAAGAAATAAACAGTAGAGATAGGAACAAGCTGCTCTGTTTTACCCCAAAGTCTATGCTCTTGGCCACATAAGCATGAATGGACGCACAATATCACAAAGCAAGAAGAAAAAGATCAGGGACTTCCCAAACATAGGCATCTAAACTTTTAGCAAGAGTTTTAAGCATTCAACTTCCTTATTCAGTGGAGGAATTGCAAAAATGTTAGCATCATGAGTCTTAGTGGATTATATGTTAGTGGATCAAAATTCATGGACGCCTTTCCTATTTCCATACATTTCTAGTGCAGGAGGCATATCTGTTCCTATTTAGATTGGGGGTGGGGGAAGGACTTGGGCCGAGAACAGAATGTGAAGCTCTGGTCCGTCTTCTCCCTGACCCTTGTGACACTGAATGTTTCCCTACCCTTCACTCCTTGGAAGAAGCTTGATGGCGTGACCTGGAGTGACTCAGAGAACGCACTGTAATATCTGGCTGTGCTCTCTGTGGATTATTTCTTGGCTGGGGAGGCAGGACAGACCACAGATTTAGACTGAACACATGCATTTGAATCCATCGTGGAGTCCTGGAGGAAAAACAGGAATTGTGTGCAATGTGTCAGGGCAACAATGCCTTGGGATTGCTTGGAGTAATTATAATCACACTTGCTTGTTTTCCCCGAAAGTAAATGTAGAAAGTGAAGTGAAGAAGATAGCCTTGGTGCCTAGACATTGCTCCTTTTCTTAGGCAAAAACTTAGACCGGAAATAATGACAGTTACCACTTTTTTTTTCCCTCCTGATAACCTTAATTTGTCCTCATTTGAAGCATTAAAATTTATGAACAGTGCTAATGGAAAGCTTTTTAGTCTAAGTGTGTGGTTGCTATCTCTTTAACCTCTCAACCCACCTCCACAAGACGAAAATCGGTCTCACAAAGCTTTAAGAGGAAGGATAGTTCATGTGAATATTCTCTTTCCATTCTGTATCTCTTTCCCTCTGTATTTTCACATTACTTCTCCTGTCTGCTGTTTCATTAATGGCATTAGAGTTTTTATTTTTCTGATCTAGGGATGGAAGAATTAGACCCGTTACATCTGGTAATTTATCAAACAGCTTCTCTATCACAAAGAACATTTTTTCCCCCCTTTTCTCTGGGTTCGCGGCAGCTCATCTCACCCTGCCAGGGGGAGATTGAACACTTTAATCTTTTGACGAGTTCACATCAGAAGATTTTGCCACATGCCTCTAAGATTTCACCTCATGAGAAATTCCCCTTCAAACCCGTGGTTTTGCCTCTTCCCAGGACCTTTTGAGTTCCGTCATGGCATCACGGGTTGGCTGTAGACTTTGTCCCCTTTGAAGCATTTACAGACGCTTTCACTAGTCTCTTTAGAAAGAAAAAGGTTGGTGGTGGTGGTAGGAGGCGGGAGGGGGGGGGGTGTTGGAAATCCTTCAACAGCCCGAAGATGCACTCTGAATAATTCAGGACATCCCGTGAGGCATCGCTAATACCCAACACCCCAGGGCTGGAGTAACTGTTAACACTCTGATTTCTGGTCTCCAGGGAGAACCGTGGTGGAAGCAGTGGGCTCCTCTCCCTCCAGCAGCCCACGCGTGAGAGGGTGTGAAGCTTTCTGGACACACCTCAGCATCACCTGGGAAACTGAAATCCTCACGCCAGGGCCCTCCCCCGGCAGATTTGATGAGAAGCGCTGACTCCTGGGACAGGCGCCCCTCTGAGCTTCTCCAGCCGCACTACATGCGTCCTGCTCGTATCTTAGGTCCGCCTGGAGCAGATAGTTCTGGAAGGAGGTGGAAGATTTCATCAGCCCCTTCTGTCTAGCATGGTGGCCAAGGCGCAGAGAGAGGCCAAGCTGTGTGAGGCCCACGGTCCCACCCAGGGCCAGACAGGGCATCAAGGCAACCGGCCACCTTGCTTTAAGGGCCTCTCCTTAAGAAGGAGCATCTCACAGAAACATGCCGAGCTTCCCTTGTGAGCCCACAGGCAGGGAGGCTCTGGCACAGGACTGCTTTCCCTTAGCGTTCAGAAGACGGTTCCCGTCTTCAGAGGTCAGGCCACCTCTGGGGCAGCTCTTTTCCAGTGGGAGCTGGCAGGACCTCTTCCAGTGAAGTCAGCCTCCATCACCAGAGGGGTCTACGTGGTCCTTGCTACTTGCCGGGGGGCGCGCCAGCGCTCAGGCGTCTCTGACGGGTGCAGAGGCAGCTCCCAGAAAGAAAGGAAAGTCTCGGACCAAAGAGGGAGAAAGGGCAGGTTTTCAACTTGGTTGTGATACTGGCATAAGTGACTGACCTGCTTTTTAAACGGGAAGAATCAGGAAACATGGTGACTTTGATGAGACTATCGGTACGTGCTTTGCTGATTATTCCCTCGATTCTGTGTTAAGTCCGGTGTAGACGAGCGTCACACGTCAGTGGGGACCCCCGTGAGGAGACGCCTCCTGTCAGCTGCCCTGAAACAGCTTCTACTTTATCCGGGCCTCCCTGCCTCTGCCAACCTTCCAGCAGTTTTCCCTCACAAAAACTATGGAAAAGAATGTGTCAGACAAGAAACTCTGCAGTTAAGTATGGGCTCTGATGGGGAATATATGTGTGTGTCTTTAAAAATTGATCCCTAATGCTGTGATGTTACAAAAGAGTTGTATGTTTATCGTAGAAGACTTAGCACATACTGATTAACTAACAAACAAACAAAAAATCCCACCAGTCAGTTAAAAGTCTCACTGATTATTTTCTCTTGCTCCATCCCTTGCAGCAAAAGTGGGGTTTTATCATGGCCCCTGCTTTATAACCTGTTTTTATCTTTTATTAAAGGTATACATGTATTTCCACATTTTTACTTAATCTCATTTTGAAGGTTGCATGATACTCCATAATATGGACATGCTACCATTCATTTAATTATCACCTGTATGGACATTTACTTTGTCCTCTGTTTAATCTACAGTATTCTGTAATGAATATCCTTTAGCTAAACATTTGGGTGGGGCTTCCTCAGTGGCTCAGTGGTAAAGAATCTGCCTGCCCAGTGCAGGTGACCCAGGAGATGTGAGTTCCATCCCTCAGTCAGGAAGATCCCCTGGAGGAGGGAAGGGTAACCCACTCCAGTATTCTTACCTGGAGAATCCCATGGACAGAGGAGCCTGGTGGGCTACAGTCCATGGGGGTCTCAAAGAGTTGGACACGACTGAGCGACTGGGCAGGCACGCACATATTTGGGCTCACTCAGTGGTATGCGGAAAATGCTTTCTGGAGCTTGTGGGGAAAAGGCCCTAACTGTAGCATTTGCTGATTTCCTGGGGTTCAAGTGCGTGTATCTCTTCTGGGAAAAGTGAAAGTCGCTCAGTCATATCCAACTCTTTGCAATCCATGGAATTCTCCAGGCAAGAATACTGGAGTGGGCAGCCTTCCCCTTCTCAAGGGGATCTTCCCCACCCAGGGATTGAACCCAGGTCTCCCACATTGCAGGCGGATTCTTTACCAGCTAAGCCACCAGGGAAGCCCTGTGATCCATTTCAGTGAGTGTGGACTTGGGAGAGGTGCCTTTGACTGGGACCACTCATGTTGACATTTTAAGATAAATTCTTAAAAGTGGAATTTCTGAGTCAAAGGGTATGAACATTGTAAAATATTTCTGTATATTTTGCCTATCTGCCCTCCAGAAACACCAAAATTTATATCTCCACCACTAATAGGTGGGCATTTTCCAAAACCTCTAATTTCCCAAGGGTCCTCTCTGTCCTCAGGTGGAATAGACTTACCCCACAGGCAATGAGATGTCTGTCGTTGGGGGTCTCATCTCTCCTGCCTGGAAGCCAGATGACCAGCTGTTTGGGAGTGAATTCAAACATGAGAGGAACTGGGCTGAGTCGACTAGGTGTCTTTTAGGAAAAGTTAACTAAGAAAATGAGATGCTGAAAAGCAATTCATAGGAAATTCCAAGACTCAAGTTATGAAAAGGTTCAGAGGAAGGAGAATCAGTGTGGGAACCTTGTTAGGAAAGCTTCACAGAAGGGAGAACTGTCCTGAAAAAAAAGTGGAAGTATTCATTGGCCTTTGGGTTACTGTGTCTTTGTCAATTTCCTCTCCATCACGGAAGCCTGGATTCCTGGCACCAACAACAGACAGGCTGGAGGCAGGAGGCACCAGGGGGCAAGGAGAGCTGTTTACTGGGAGCACCGTCTCTGAAGGCCAGCTTCGCCACCATCTGCACCTGCAAGGAACCCTCGGCAGCCTCGCGTGACAGCCCACCTCCAGGATGGAGCCCCTGCCCACGTTTCCAGTCAGTTTTTCTCAGCCACCCCAACCTGACTACTTTCCCGTCTGTCTCTCTTTTTCATTTTAGGAATAAAAGAAATCCAAATTGCAATGTGTCTCCCAGCTGTTGTACCCAGCTCACAGCCGATGGACAGAAGCATGTGATACCATGTTAGATCTGGAGCTCTGATGCCTTGCCTGGGATCAGACTTTCTGCAATTCACTCGAGTTCATACAACCCAAATATCAGATAACATTAAGGTTTACCTTCTCCCTTGAAAGCTATCCCAAGCATTTATTGATGTTTGCAGCATCCGATTACTCTAGAGCCAGAGAAGGCCAAGAGGAGAATCTTCTATTTTTCCATTTGACCTTTGAAAAGTAGCGTCTGTGACTTCCTCTGTGAAGCCAGTGACCTTCAAGCATCGAAGTCTTCGACTTTTCCACAAATGATGCCCCCCTTTCCCCTCGATGTGTATCTTTAGCAGTGATTCGAAGGGCACCAGTGTTTGCTTTTGCCACGAGAATGGGAGGTCTGGAAGAGGAGTGGTTGCCTGTGACTGGGGGGCCTTCCCATCGCCCGTGTGAGAGGGGTCACAGCCCACTGGGGAGGCTTTCAAATGAGACAGGAAGCAGTTTAGGGTAAGAAACAATTTTAGAAAACCATTCTCACGCCAGATGAAATCTCAGATCTTGCAATTTTGTTTGTTTTCTCCCTTCTCAGCTGTTTCCCTTGCAAGTCAAAGACTGGTGTTTCTTTGTGCAAGTGCAGCTGTGACTAGGGGATCATGGTTTATTTTAAGACGAGAATAGAATGGGAGCAAAGGCATACCTATTGTTGGTTGTCATCCAGTAGCAAAGCCTAAGTGCGTGCAATTTTGTCCAAACAAGGGGCTGAAGACCCCACAGATGAAGACACTTGGGCTGGGGGCCCGTGTCCGCTGGAGGGAGTCCTGCTCAGTCCTGCTCTGGCTTGAGTGCTGTGTCTCCTGCCTTTCCCGTGTCCCCTGCCCCTGCCTTAGTTCAGAGCTCTATTATTTTGGGTCTGAAAGATTGCAATTATCTGTTGACTTGTTTTCTTTAGAATCTGCGTTTCTGACCAATCTTGTCTGCAAACCACAGCCAGAAACACCCTGCAGTGTCACGTCAACCCATTGCTGCTCCTCAGTCACGTCAGTCGTGTCTGACTCTGTGTGACCCTAAGGCCTGCAGCCTGCCAGGCTCCTCTGTCCCCGGGATTCTCTAGGCAAGAGTACTAGAGAGGGTTGCCATCCCCTCCTCCAGGGGATCGTTCCTGACCCAGGGAACCCGGGTCTCTTAAGTCTTCCACGCCAGCAGGCGAGCTCTTTACCACTAGCACCGCCTGGGAAGTCTAGGCTGAGCTGACTATAGTATAGCCTTGTAAAAGTGGAAATTGTCTTGCGGGGGAATTGTACATTCCCGACTCAGGGATTGAACCCTGGTCTCCCGCATTGCAGGCGGAATCTCTACCACTGAGCCACCAGGGAAGCCCAGTCAACCCACTATTCGCTGTCTCAGATCCTCAGCGGCTCCCTACTTCCTACGGGACAAGTTCTACGTGTGTTACGTGTCATTTGCAGCGTTTCTCGGTTAACCGCCGTCTTCCTCCCCAGCCTGATCGCTCAGCTCTCTTTCTGGGTATCTCTCACCTCCTCCCAAGGAGGAGATTGCTTATGAGCCAATGTCATGTCACCAGGAACTTTTCTGCCAGGAAGTCTACATTAGGAGACCATCCCCCTCCGCCCCCCGTGGGAACACCTCCTGCTTTGAATTAGATTTCTTCTAGTTTGTATCATTCATGGATTTTTAGGATCGATGAGGCTTTAGCATTTTGTCCACTCTTTCCGCTTTAGAGATGAGAGAACCAATATGCAGGAATGAAGGGAGTTACCCAAAGCCACTAATAATGGCTAATGATGAGAGTAACCGCCACTTACTGACAGCTTTTCTATACCCCTGTTAGTGTACTGGAATATCCTTACTCAGTTGCAGGACACTTGAGGCCCAAAGAGGTTAAATAACTGGTTAAGAAGCCAGCTTTCACAGATTGTCTGCACCAGGGCAAAACTCACAGCAAAACTCACTCCCTGACGCACCCTCACTTGCTGTACCCTACCCGTGACCTTACATACTATTCTGTTACTTTTGTGAACGTATCTTATTTATCCAACTCTATCTGTAAGCTTCTGAGGGGTAGGGTCCTTACCTTATCAGCCTGTGCACCCTGTAAATGTTCAATACGGATGTCCGTGTGACCTCCGTAATTCAGCCTCGGGAGAGCCTGAGGCGCTTAATTCCACTCAGGAAGCCCCCAGCGGCCTCCTCTCTGCCCCCTTACAATTTGCTCTCTTTTTCCCCAGACGTCATTTCAGTCTCCTCACCTGTCTGTCTGCCTGTATGTGAGCATCCCCCTCTGCGTGCTCTTCTTTCGACACTCAGCATGGGCCTCTGCTAGGATTCTGCTTCCGTGCTTGCAATTCTCAACCCTTGTGCTTTCTCCTTTGTTTGAGCCATCAGCACGCTAACCTTTTTCCTAACAGCAAGGTGCCTGCTCTTAGCCTTTCTCAACCCTGGACTCTATCACTGATCCCGTTTTGTATTAACACATGAGTTTGATCTTTGGAGCAAGAATATGAGATGGACAGCACTGGGAAG